TTGCCTCCTGCCGACTTTTCTTCCACCCCTCTGCCAGCTTCCTGAGCAACTTGGTCATGCCGCCATCTGAGCCGACCCTGTGTCAGTGCTATTTTACAGCCCGACAGAACATACTGGAGTGAGGCATTGATGGTCCCGCAGAGGTCACAGGATTGCTCTGTTCCAAGCCATTGATGGAGTTTTTTAGGGCTCGGGAGGGTGTCGTATGTTGCCCTAATGAGGAAACTGAGCCGAGCCTGTGGTAGTTTCCAGAGCTCTGCCCAGCTGATTGCTCGGCTCGCGACACCCTCCCAAGTTGTCCACCGCCCCTGCTGCCCCTGTGCCACAGACCTTACTCTGAGCTCCTCCTGCTCAATCCTGGTGACCTCTGCAACAACTAGGTCCTTCCTCTCCTTCCTACTTGCCTTGGACCATAGGATGGGTGGCTCGCTCCATCCAAGGCCTGCCCGCCCTGTCTGGACCATGCCCACAATTTGTTGATGTTGCAGTCTTCCCATCACCTTCTGCACCTCCTCCTTAGCCCTCCATTTCCTTCCAGTCTCAACTCTGGCATTTGCATCAGCCACTGCCTTGTCGGAGGAGTCCCTTAATTCCATCACAAGCCTTGCCTTCTCCTGCCTATAGCCCAAGGTGATGGATTTCAGGAGTAGCTGGAGTGAGTTCCATCCATACAGCTCAGCAGCTGAAAAGCACCGTGGTAGGCCGAGCCATTTGCGGATGAAGGAGTTGGCTTTTGCCTCCATCCGGCTTACTGCTGATGAGGTGACTTCGCACAGCTTCAGAGGCCACATCACCCTTGGGTACAAGGTGAAGTGATAACACCACACCTTGTATTTCCAGGTAGCTGGCTTGCGTTGATCTTGGACAGGTCTTCTGACAGCTGCCGAAGGATGAATTTCCCCATATCCTTGTCTGAGAGGCCAGATGTATAAAGTCTTCCCAGGCTTTGGATGGCCTGATCCACGATGCGGGGGATGTCTTCCCCACTGATGGTGAAGGTGACTCTGTCATTTCTCTCCCCCTTTCGCAATGAGAGGCTCCTTGACTTCTGTGGCTTAAACTTCATTCTGGCCCAGGTGATCAGCTCATCCAGCCTTTTAAGCAGCCTGGTTGTACATGGGGCGGTTCGTAGCAGGCAGGTGATGTCGTCCATATAGCTCCTTAGGGGCGGGAGCCTCTGACCTGCTGGCAGCCGGACCCCACCCACCACCAGCCTTGCCCCGATCAGGATGGCCTCAAACGCTGCCACGAAGAGGATGGGAGAAATGGAGCATCCCTTTGCGATCCCTACTTCCAGTTGTTGCCAACCAGTGGTGACTTTCTTCAGTGCAAAGCACATGTGCATGTCCTGGTAGTAGTTCATGATCATGGTCCTGATGTTGTCTGGGATGTAGAAGAATTCCAAAGCGTAGGCTATGAGCAGGTGTGGCACTGACCCATAGGCATTTGCTAGGTCTAGCCATATGACGTGCAGATCTTTCTTCTCCCTCTTAGATCTGTTCCCAAATCATGGAAGCATGCTCTACACAGCCAGGGAAACCTGGAATCCCGGCTTTCTGACAGCTGGTATTGATGTAGTTGTTCTCCGTGAGGTAAGTGGTCATTCTTCTTGCCATCACGGAGAAGAAGATTTTCCCCTCCACATTCAGTAGAGCTATGCTCCTGAACTGCTCGATGGTCTTGGCGTTCTGTTGTTTGGGAATAGAGACTGCCACTGCCCTCTGCCACTCGGATGGTATAGTCTGCTTAGTCGAGGTGATTCTCATCAGGGTCCATAACAGCTTCAGCACTCCTGGGCAGTTCAGCGAGTTGGTCTTTCTGCTGGACCTTAGGCCTGTCGCACCTCCTACGGTGCCTATGGTGGACTATGCATGGCAGGGGCGTCCTCTTCCCTGAGGCAGGCCTAAACCTGACCGCATACCACGTGGTTTTCTGCAGGGTCTTCAGCTGGGTACCACCGCTTATTGACGTTTCGCCCCTTAACCCCAATCTATGCTGAGAGTTGTCTTGACTAAAATGACTCATTGACTTCCATGGAATACAACGATTATTTTCATCAGAATGTTTCATTCATCAGAATGAAAGTTGCTTAAATATCTTAAATTTCAGTCTTTTCAATACACAAATATATTGTATGGCTTCAGAAGAACTGGGATATAGTGTATGAGTAATGTTATGATGCTTTATGGTGTTCTCTGCACCCACCCAACTTTCCACTTTGATTGTAGGTACAGTAGAAGAAGACTGCGAACATTCTTCAAAACTTCCCTTTTTGTGCTCCACAAAAAAGTCATCAGTTTGGAACTACACGAGGGTGAGTAAATCATAGTAGATTTTGCTGGAGTATACATTTAACAAGCATGTTTGTATATTCCCTTAGGTATGAATAATGAATTTAAGTTTCATGGCATTTTTGGAAATTGTAATACTTTAAAGGGCTATTTTGGTTTAAGACGAGATTTTCTGTCAGTCAAAACAAGAAAATATTTTTGTGTTTTATTTTGGTACTTCCTCATACAGCAGCTTTTGCAGTTGTTGGGAAAATATTTTGCGTTTCCTTCCACACAATCTCACACAGCATACTTTAAAGCCTATATATAAGCTCTGCTGCCCACATTTATCTGTTCCGAGTGGCACAGCTGTGTGAGTTCTCACACCAGTGCGGCAAATGTATCCTCCAAGGGGAACACATCATGACAACCTCAATGTCTCAGAGCCATAGAGTAGAGACCACTGAACGGGAGTGATGGGAAATAGATTTTATGTCTTCTGCCTCTGCCAGAATGGTGAATTCTTCGTCTCATGTTGTAAAGCACTAAGAGGAAGTAGAAAAGAGAGAAATTATGGTTGAGGGACAAGTACCATCTTACAGAGAGCAAGTGGAAGAAAGGAAAAAAGAAAGAGACAGGAATATCCAGGCGAATTATAATCCAGTTTTCATCCAATGTTGCCCAAGCAATTTCACTTCAAAGATTTAGAGGGCTGGCCAATTACTGCATATCCCTGAGTTTCCTTTTGGATGTGAGAGAAATATATAATTTAAGAAATTTTAATTAATATCTCTCATCTGCTTATGAAGGCAAGGAGGAGAATAAATGGCAGTCACTTCTGCCCGGCTTTAAGACACAGCATCTCATACGCACAAGTGCTCCTTCATTTTTTAGGCCAATTACAGAGGGGCTGATGTCTCTGAATTCAAGCCAAATTCTTTCAGAAAAACAAGTATAAGGCTGAAGGAAAAGAAACAGGCAGAGTCCTAAATGAAGGATGTGGTGAAACAGAGAAAACCAGAAGGAAAGAAAGAGCAGGGAGTGTTGTAACATCATTGTCCAATTATGAATTAACTACAGGTTGAAATCGCTAACATACTGAATGAAAATGATCTGAGGGTTGGGGTGGGGATGGATGATGACAATTATTTTAAACAAGTAAATAAAAAAAAAGAACATTCAATATATTGTTTTACAAAAAATGCAATGTCATTGATTTACACAGTTTAGAGATGCCTTTAATTTATAGCATGCAAATATGGGAATGTTATATAAAAGTTGGTACTTAAAAAAGCAAGCAGTTATAGACGTTGAAACAAACTGTCACACTCCCTGGTCTCCCCTACCCCACTTGATTATGGCGTTTATTTTCTCGGTAAATCCACATCACCCTTCTTCCCTCCAATATGTACAGTAGCTGCAACATCCTTCATGTGTTGCCCCAGTATCTATTAATACTTTTACTCTGTTAATGAAGATAAATGCACAAGACTAACAATGTTCCATAGAGAGAGGGAGAGAGACAGTGTGATACTTGCAAAAAAGATAGGAGAGAAAGGAAGGGGCAAATTAGGGTGGATAGAAAACAGGGACCGAGTGAAAGATGGATGGATTACATTAGAAGCAGAAGAGGGAACACTGGCTGGCTCAGTGAAAAACACCTTGATAAACAGGCTACGAACACCCCCACCCCCCAGCAAGGTGTCCTCCTAACGATTCCTATCCTGCACCTGCTGAGAGAACCTGAGTCATACTTACACACCACTGCAGATGGTGCGCGGAGAGAAAACCGCACAGCATAGGGTTTTGCCTTGCTGTAAAACACCCACTACATCTATTCAATCAAAACTTGACATTTTATTGTAACATTTTTATTTATTTATTTAATTTCTGTCAGATCGGTGTAACAGACCAAAGCCTGAAGGAAGACTGTATAGGTGAAATGTGTGAAGAAAAAGCTCTGTTGGAGAACTGGTGCTTTTATTTAGAGCATTAGGCTGGGCGTCATTTACTGGGTCACAATCAACATGCACCTGTTTTTGCTGCACCAAAGAGGCTAAAATAAGTTTGAAGCTGCATATTTCATAAGTACGGTGACGCATTGCTGCCGCACACATATTATTTTTTAGATGTTTTCTCGTAATAACGAGATGTTTTCTCGTTAAAACGACATCTTTTCTCGTTAAAACGATATCTTTTCTTGTAATAACGACATCTTTTCTCGTTAAAACGACATCTTTTCTCGTAATAACGAATGTCGTTATTACGAGAAAAGATGTTTTAACGAGAAAAGATGTCGTTATTACGAGAAAAGATGTCGTTTTAACGAGAAAAGATGTCGTTTTAACGAGAAAATATCTCGTTATTACGAGAAAAGATGTCCTTAAAACGACATAATTGAGTGGAAAAAATAATATGTGTGCGGCAGCAATGCGTCACCGTACATAAGAAAGATCTGAACAAGCTACAGTGCAAGTTGTTATTGACAAAAAATAATTATCAATTTACCATTTAGAAAACAATAGCTATGGTTCTCTTGAGTGCATCAAACTAGTTTTTACATTGACTGAAGCAAATGTGAGCCTATGCTGTTGTGGGACGTAGTTTTCTCCATACAATGAAAGTCAAAAGGGTCCAGGCTTGTTTTGGACTCCATTGACTTTCACTGTATGAACAAAACAGTTGAAACATTCCTCAAAATGTTGTGAATGCTGATCCTTTGAAGACTGATTGAACTGAAAGTCTCTCTTCAACAAGCTGCATGATTTGAGGTATCATTCATAGGAGTTCTATCATGACAACTCTTAGAAGATTACAGCATGGTAGTGGATATAACAGTGTTAATGTATTTGGTCTTTGTATGTATTTGAGTTGCTGCTGCTGTTGGTTATTGCTGTTTTTGTAGATTATTGCTGCTGCTGCTGCAAAGCAAGTTTCGGAACTTTCTACTGCCAATGCATCCAGTGATATGGTGCTGTGAGTATTTAAGACATACTGATGCTGCACAAACAGCATATAAAATAACCCATAGCAGTTCTACACAGGTGGAGCTGGGGAAGGTGGAGGGTTTCAGAGGAACTCTGAAAGCGTGCTGCAAAATGCTCTAGTGAATGCAAACCAGCCATTTAAATGTAAAGCAGTAACCTCATTGGCTGCGTATGCAACATAAACAAATCAGTTTGTGCCAAGTAATTCAACACTGTGAATATCATCAATTCATGACAGAACTTGGCATTTATGCCCCAAAGTTTAATACTACAAACCCTTAACCCCAAGTATGAGCAATAGTAGTAGTACTTTTCTTTTGGCAAGAATCAATAAATATTTTTCCGAAAGACATAGCGGTTTATATAGAGTGTGACAGAGAATCTTATCTTGCATTACATCTGTACATCTTGAGAGAAACTCACATATATCAAGTGAGCATCTGAGGGACTATCTGTTTTGACTGTTTATTCCATCCTGTCTCTGAGGATTGATGGCCGTTCTGAATCCTCTTTGGGAATTTTTATCACTCTGCA